TATGGAAGTTTTTAACTACTTTTTATAAAACTGATGTGTTATCATAAAATTATAAAGGATATCTGGACAGTCGAATAAGCCACAAAGAATTCCTGAAGATTTACACAGGCTCAATGCTTCTGGGATGGCGGCCATTTTGGGGGTGCGCTCGTCCAACTCAACCCTACATACCAAGCGCTAACGCTTGGTAATACTTAGTAACGCTACCGCATTACTAAAAACCATAAACTCCACCCAAAATGTCTAAACCACACCCAAAATATAATGTTATAGTTACCAGTTTCTTCCATGATTTATTTTTAATATGAAATATCCAAAGATCATAAGTATCATATCCACCCACCACTAGTAGGTGTGGTCCTGAGCTAGTGTTAATCAATACACTGGAATGAGCAGATCTTCCCTTAGGCCATTGTACTGATCTTCCAGGATTAGACAACTTTAAACAATTCTAAAATAATAAAATTCAAGTATCATATTATATGTAAACCACATCCACACATTTATGAATAATATTAGTTAATAATTAATTTAACTGCACTAGTAATACACTCACCACTGATGTTTTAGCAAAATTAAGAATATATACATCGCTACTCCTTCCATTAGCAGTGAAACCTCCAAATAATATAGCACTGGAATTATTAATTGATGTTAATGTGAAGAATTCAATAGGAGGTGGTCTGTCTCCAGTGACTGTTGGTGATATCCAATCACCTTAAATAAATATGTATAATATAATTAATGATCAGCTTGTTGATTATAAATAAAATACATTATTAGTATCGTGTTGTTATACTGACCTGATGAGAGTTTATAAAAATGTATTTCATTATTCCTACCACCATTGTACTGGGCACCAGGTTGTTTTGGTGCATTATTAGAAGATGATTCCTTTCCTCCAATTACTACAAGATAGTCCTCACCATTGACTTTTATTGCTATCATGTCACAGAGCCACTTAATCCTAGGACCATGACGAGATGTACATGTAGTAGGAGAGAGTTCCTTCCAGTTGAAGGTATCAACATTAAAACTGTACAAAATATTATATAATACATGTGTATTTATTAGTAACTTCATTTTTACCTGAATAAACTATTATGATGACAGTCATCATGACCACATCCTCCTCCAAAATAAAATATTTCATTTCCAATGGCAGCAGCAGCATAGCCCCTAACACCCAGCGGAGGATTACCAGTGGTGGGTTTCTGCTCCCACCTACCAGTCCTTAGGTGATGCACCTCCATCACAGAACACATTGATTTCTTCTTTTCATTATTATGTACTCTAGGGAGATCAGGCTGGGCTCCACCCCACATATACAGGTAATCTCCTACCTGTACAGTGGAGTGGTGACTCCTCTTCACTGGTTGATAGTCTATAGATATTAAGAGGTAAAAGTAACTGAATGATACACTAATAGTGAGTGACCTTTTCCAGCCTTCTTGTTATAGATCTCTGTGTGTGTGTGAGAGAAAGAGAGATTAAATTATGTGACAATAAATTTAAGAAAGGACACTGTGCCCAACTCTTGTCAATAGTCAGACATCAGAGTGTTGGCCACAGTCGGTTGATGCTCCTAGTCTGCCTACTCGCCTATGCTTCTTTTCTGGCTATATTCCTTACATCTCGCCCTCAACCCTCTGTCCATGACTCAGAGACACTAGTTATCATACCATGTGACAATAATAAACAAACTTTTACGGTTATTGTGTTAGCATGAAAGCCATGGTGAACAGCAGGCTAGGCAGCCCAGTCTTGAGAACTGGAACTGGGGGTTAAAACATTTTTAATGGCCAAACTCTCACCCTGCCTGCCTTAAAAAGCTGTAGTTACCATTATGGCTTGTACAGTTACATGTGTGCTGACACTATATATACAGGGTCTACATGTATGCTTATTATCTAACACAACTGGGCTTACTACTACAAACTGGATGGTATTGGTTTCTTTTCTCCAGGCACAATAAACTTAAAAGACCATGTCTCTGTCATGTGCTTAGCTTTAGATAATTATTATTTATTAGCTGTTATTACTAGTTAAGGCTGGATTTTGGTTTAGCAC